CATTTAATTGATAGACTTAGGGTGATGGGATTTCATGGTAGTAACTATAAATACAATTTTGAACCAAGTTAAAATTATGATTAATGTCAGTTTGTATACAGCAGTCTGGTTTCCCAAACCAGATTGTAAGTACAGTGAAGACAGGAATCTTACTTTAAATGTCTTCAACCCAATGTCTAGTATGTTCCAAGCACACTGTGGTTTAACAAATATATGAGGTATCTTATGTTTATGTACTTATCAAGAATCTACATCATAATAAAATTAAGAATATTAGTTTGTCTTACTTTAAGTGAACTCTACATTTAAAAACATCTTATATTAGAGAATAAGTATACTTGCTATAAGTAACATAAATTTTGTAATGTAAAAAGACAAAAAAATTTTTGATCCAATATTGTATTTACCATTAATTGACATAATTTTTCTTTTTCAGAACTAAGGCCTATGATTTTGATTTATTACAAAAGAATTCTTCACAAAAAGATTTATTGCAGATGTCTATTAAATATTGTCCGTTCTACCTCAGTGACATGAGGTAGAATTCATGTGATTAAGATTTAACTCATATGTGATTTTACGTACCATGTGTTAGGATTGTAATTAGAATACCACAACTGTTAAATGAATCAATATTATAATTACCATGAGTATAATAAAGTTATAACATACAGTAATTTCGGGCAAGAAAGAAAACTTGGGAATCATTCTAGGCCAATCTCTGCATCGTACAGATTGGAAAACTGGCCTGTCCAAGTCCTCAAAACAAATCAAAGTAGAATATGATTCTATGATCTTCTCGATTTTGCTTCAGTTTTTTTTCGTTAAATACTTAATGCTATCTCTCAACCATGGATAATTATTTTTACCTTAAAACCTATGCCAGGTTTTATATTAATGTTGATATCCTCATAATAAATTTAAGTTAATTTTTTTGGAGCTGATTTCAGGCAGGATATTCATTTTGATGATAGATAATCCAATCTCATTCCTATTTCACTTGTCAGAATATGAAGTGCCAGAGACATGTTACTGCACTTTCCCCTTCTTGAACATTCAAGCTCTCATAGACTCATATTTTCCATGAGTAAAGTTAGAAAAATTTAGGCTATAGCCAGTCCAAAAATATGCCTCAGTTCTGAAAGAGAAAACTCATGTCATACAATGGTAAATATAATACTGGATTAATTTAATTCATTTAAATCCATGGATTCTGGACGCCTCCCAAAATAAGCCCCTTAGTAATTTGTCTTCTCTGAGTTATTCTACATAAAACTTACTCTCTAGATGGATATTTATGTATAGTACATATTTCAGTTTCCCTCGTTATTTTTCTTAGGTTTGTAGCTAAATGTTCCAAATAATAAATTCATTATTAGGAAAACAATAAAATCTTTACACATTGACTTTCTCCCTACTAGTTTAGTATCTCATAAATAACTACATTGGTTTAATACCTACCTACCAATTCTCTTAATTTTCTAAGATTCCTGCCACTTGTGTGTACTTGTGTATTTTCAAATGGGTTGTTGTCCATGGATGAGTCAATAACTATTGTCATGAAGACATTTTTATTTCCTAATTGTCTGAGATACTGCAATGTTTTCCCATCAAGGATACATTTAAATCATAGAGATCTCTATCACTGCCATTTCAGTTTTCCTTTTTTTTTTTTTTTTTTTTTTTGACTTGAGACAGAGTCTCGCTTTGTTTACCCCAGGCTGGAGGTGCAATGGTGTAGTCTCGGCTCACTGCAACCTCTGCCTCCTGGGTGCAAGTGATTCTCCTGCCTCAACCTCCCTGAGATTACTGGGATTACAAGCACCATTTCAGTTTTCCTTTTTTTTTTTTTTTTTTGAGACAGAGTCTCGCTTTGTTGCCCAGGCTGAAGTGCAATGGTGTGATCTCGGCTCACTGCAACCTCTGCCTCCTGGGTGCAAGTGATTCTCCTGCCTCAACCTCCTGAGTTACTGGGATTACAAGCACGCACCAACACACCCGGCTAATTTCTGTATTTTCAGTAGAGATGGGATTTCACTATTTTGGCCAGGCTCAAACTGCTGACCTCAGGTGATCCGCCCATCTCAGCCTCCCAAAGCGGTGGGATTACAGGTGTGAACCACTGCACCCAGCCCCAATTTTTATTTTTTCTGATTTACTAATAGGCAAATCAAGATTTGTTTTCCTGAGCCCATATTATCGTTTTCCTACTCTTTTTTTTTTTTCTTTTTGAGACAGAGTCTTGCTCTGTTGCTCAGGCTGGAGTACAGTGGCACGATCTTGGCTCACTGCAAGCTCTGCCTCTCAGGTTCACGCTATTCTCCTGCCTCAGCCTCCCGAGTAGCTGGGACCACAGGCGCCTGCCACCACGCCTGGCTAATTTTTTGTATTTTTAGTAGAGGGGGTTTCACTGTGATAGCCAGGATGGTCTTGATCTCCTGACCTTGTGATCCGCCCGCCTCGGCCTCCCAAAGTGCTGGGATTACAGGTGTGAGCCACCTCACCCGGCCCCCTTTTCTACTCTTAACTAAGATTTTGTAAAAGTCTTTATTTCCCTTAAAGAATTCCTTTTATTTTGGAGGATGACTCACTATAAATTGTATTATTACCTAAGTGTCTAAACCCTGGGGAAAAAGTTTAGAATCAGACTTAGCTTCCAGGAGCAAATCTATTTTCCCTGGAGAAGACATCGACTGAAACAAAATCCTTGGGCTGCACAAAAAAGTGACAGCCCATTGAGGTAACACGTAAGCCTTCCGGTGTGTACATAGTTTCATCCCAGACCTGATTCTTGAGGTTTGATCAGCACACTGGAGAGAGCCCTGAAGACTAAGGTCCCAGTGCCCACTCCTCCCATTAGAATGTCAGTCAGATCCGCCACTTCGGTCACTTTATTCTTGTGGGTGTAAATTTGCTCCTCTAAAAATAAGGAAATGGAACTAAATTATCTTTCAGTTTTAGCTAAACTCTCTCAATCCCTCTTAGGGTGGATACAGCACAGTATAACCAAAGCAAGTACCAGGAAACATTATGCTTACAGGCAACTGAATTGTTTTTATCCCGGTGACTCGATAAACTTTACAATGGATGGTGTTTCCGTTTTTGCTCTTACCATCTGGATGCTGAGTTCTAAATATTCCACCTTTCCCTACAGCAAGCAGTTTGTACAGCAATATTCACCTTGACTTTAACTAGTTCTACTCTTTGCTTCTGTTTGCCAGGGTCCTTATGGGTCTGTAGCCTCTAACGTCTGTATCTCTGGAAGGCATTTTGGAATGAGGCAGGATAGAATCATTACATAAATAAATAAAACAGTGAACAGAGGAAAGACTTTGGAGTCAGATGTATTGGGTTCATTCCATCACCGACTAGCTCATGACCATAGACAATTAGCCTTTCTGAGTCTCGGTTTTTTCATTAGTAACATGGGGAATTCCTTTCTTTCAAGATTGCCCTAGGAATTAGGTGAGATAATGGCAAAATCGAATTCCCTTGTTTCTTGCCCTTCCTAATTTAGCCCTGAAACAAGTTAGCGAACCCTAGTTGACTGCTCTAAGTCCTGGCAGGGCCCTGTCTCACCCTCAATCTCGATTTCTTATGACAAATGTCATCCACATCACTCTGGATATGTGACAGTCCCAATCCTTCCAGTTCCAAGTTTGCTACTAGGGATTACATTACAGGGAACCTGGGAGGTGAAAGGCACTGATTTCACACAACACTTCCCATAAACAAAACACAATTTGATGGTTAAAATCAGGAACCAGGTATTAGGGAACTGCCTCTGATTCTGTTTCTGAGCTGGTCACACAATGTTTGAAAGCTCCACCTCAGTTATAAAACAGAGCCAAGTACATCTGCCATCTATGAACTCTACAGGGATGCTTGATGGATTTGCAAATTGCTTTACAGTCCTCAGACGAAAGGTGCTATAAATTTAAATCACTAATGTGAGAAAACACACTCAGATAAGGCACTCTCTGTAACCTCTCTGTAACCTAGTTTCTTTCCTCAGCATAAGAAAACACCCTTGAGATGCACAGGAGGAGCTGCTTCTTTGAGTCGAGATGTTGAGCTGTCTGCCAGTGACAGAGCTATCACATGCACGATCAATATTTTCATCCATAAATAACAAGTATTAAGTGCCCACAGGGCGCTCTGCAAAGAAGCAAATGGCCATATATTTCCTGAGTCTGGTGGGAAAAAATGAATTTCACTTGTAAAAGAGATGCAGGAGAATATTTATCTGAACTCTTTTACTTTTAAATCTTCAAAATAGAGAAACTGTAGCCCTGAAAGCCATTTGGACAAGCTTTAATAATAACATGCCTGATTCTTATGAATTACCTAGGTGGTTCTGGAAAAATAAAAACAAGCAACAACCCATGTCTGCACTGTAGCCCTTCTATGAACAACGTTCTGTGTCCTTTTATGAAGAAATGCTACAAAAGCCCCAGGACATCATCTACATGCTGGGAGTATAGGGCCTTGGGGGTAACATTACCAGAAGGAACTTTGCTTTTGTCTCAGAAAGACTGGCATGATGTTCACTACTCCTCTTGAAAGAAGTCCCCAATTTTCAAAAAACCAATAAAAAAAAAAAACCCTCTTCTTGCCGGGTGTAGGTTAAACAATAATAGGAGATGTAGCAATTAGAATACCTTCCTTTCCTGGAAGGTAGAAGTGAACATTTGAGACCTAAAAATGACCACAAGCTAAAGAAACTTTCCAAATCCTATTAAGTATGAATGAACAAATACATGAATCAATAAGGTACACATGATTGGTTTACCCATCAGTTATTTGTTAATTAATAAATAATAAATCATTTTGATCATTTACTGTGTCCCAGACCCTAGGGTAGATGTCAAGCAGTTTAAAAACACTTGATCCTTTTTTTAGGTATTTGTTGGAGCTTCATGCATTTCATCACACAACATTTCTTCCTGAGTCTAAGACATATTACGAGAGGTTCATGGGCTAGAAACATCATCTCTTACCTGTTCTGTAGCCAGTGTTGTTAAGATACACAGCAAAAGTCCGAGGCTCATGCATGGCCTGCCACGAGGGTGAAGAGCAGTTCTCGTTGTTGGTGTAGACATTGTGATTGTGCACATACTTCCCGGTGAGCATGGAGGACCGTGACGGGCAGCACATGGGTGTTGTCACAAAGGCATTGATGAAGGTGGCCCCACCATGTTCCATAATCTTTCTCGTTTTGTTCATGACTTGCAGGGACCCTGAAAGGCACAGTGCCAGCATTGTTTAGCAAAGTGCAGCACATGAATGCTCATTTCTATCGTGCCCTTCAGTGCCTCTGTTTCCCTGACTTACTCATTTCCTTTCTTAGCTTGAAGGAGTCTATAATTTGATCAGCTCTCATTTCTACAACAAAATCAAGCATTTGAGATCCTACCATCTCAAGTATTTTGCAGAACAGTAAACATACTTCTCCCCTTTGTAATCACAAAGAAAAAAAATGCAGGCTAATCTGATAATTAAAGCTAGAATTTTAGCTATGGAGCAGATTCAAAGGCCAGCAGCCCATTGAAGATTATCAGAGAACAACAGCCTGATACACAGAGCATCAAAACCCCCAGCCCAGCACCAATGCAATCTACTAGTGACATTGCTACTAGATTACTAGGGTAGATTATTACTAGAGCATTTTAATCATATGAAAGAAAAGAGAAAAAAATTTTCTTCACTATTAAGTTCCATCAAAATGCCTGTGTTTAATAATAACTAAAAAAGATCTTCAATGCAAGTTGGTATCCTCTAGCAAGCTCACCAAATGTTTGCCAGTTTTTTCTATTAGGATGGCAATATCAATTTATATTTTGATCTATTTATGCACAATTTTTAAGGTTAGGTTGTTTGCTTGTGAAAGAGCTATAATTCGATTGCACTAAAAAATATTTGCATGATTATAAAATATTTCATTTTAACTTTAAGGATGAAATGGTAACATAAGATTGCTGAGGAAGGAAAAAAAAAAAAAAACTATTTCGATTACTCTATCCAGCCAAACACTGCAGCTGAAACACATCCAAACACTGCAGAAAAGCACAGGCCAGAATTCAATAGTCTTTTCAGGACTCGTCAAGAAGTGCACTACAGAGTACTACAGCCAAGCCCATTGCATTTGAATCTTGGAGCCTCAGATTTCCAACAGGTCCCACTTCTTCCAAAGAAAGGAAGAAAGTCTATGTTTTCCAGCAAGGAAGGAAATCGTAATGCAAACCAGGCAAGCATTCAGGGCAGAAGAGAAGCATGCAATAGTCCAAAAAGCCACAGTTAGTCCCGTGTCTTCATATACTAGCTTTTACCATTCACATGACGCATATGAGAACAGGAGGAAGGTTTCTAATTGGGTCTCATTAGAGCTCCCTAAAATATGCCTCAGCTAGGAGCAATCCCAACTGTTCTTTCTCTTCTGGTTGTCTTCAGGGGATCAAGTAACCTTTTGTAGTCAGTGAATAACATGTCGTGAGTGCCTACTTCATGCAAAACATTCTATCAACCTCAGCATTCTGGGCTGATCTCCCAAGTATAGCATAAACAAAAGAAATGGGAAATTTTCTGCTTCTGGTCTTCAGTAATAAACTCTCTAGACAAGAACCTACATAGAAAAATCACTTGGGGATATTTGCAAAACAATGCACACGTAACAATGTGAATACAGCAGTAGCAGGGCATATAAAAATAGAGGGAACTTGGATTGAAGGCTTAATAGGAGTTCTGAAATGAGAGATGAGGACAGATGGAAAAAAAGGAGGTAGCAAATGTCGGATGGGTGAAGTATATCATTGGGGGATTGTGGCGAGTGACAAGTGTGATGCTCTAGAGGTGGGAAGAAACAAGTAGAGTGATGAGAACAACACATTGATTTCCTGGCATGAAGAGGAATATGGAGAATTCTCTTCATGAAATGTGGAAAGCAGATTTAGCAAATAGCTTGAAGGCTGGGCAGAGATACTGGATGTGATAGAATAGAAAAAATGAAGGTAGAGTTATGTTCTGTGTCAAAGTCATGAATGGCATATTAAGAAAAAAGTCTTTGAAAGATGTTGCTGCTGCAGTGGATTGCAGATTGCAGTGGATTGCAATTGCCTCAAGAGGCGTTGCTGTTGCAGTGGTGGTGTATGGATTGAGGAGGGCACAGCACTGGTGGTCCGCGAATGGTACAGATGAGGTCGCTGAAGCCGTGTAGCCCTGAGGAGAGAAGAACTCGGTCAACTATGTCTTTGACACAGAGCGACCCTAAGAAGCTGACTCAAGTGATGTGGTAATGCATGAGAAGGCTGGGAGTTGGCTAACACCTTGAAGTTTTTACCACGAGAAGAAAACTGGAAACCAATAGTTTCACTGATGGTGAAGAAGTAACTAAAAAGGAATATGCCTTATAGGAGATTTAAAAACCCCATTTTAGAAAAGTTGCATTTTATATTTGTGTTGGTTGATCACACAGGGGGAATATCCTGGAGATGAGCGGACGAACGGAAACATTGAAGTGGAAAGAGAGTGAAAGGTGACACTGAAGATGTCTGTCATGTCTCATTGCTCCCCTTTAGAGCTCTGCAGTAGTTAGTTACTGAGTATCTTGAATTTTGGGAAACCAGCAGACACTGTTGATGGCTTTTCATTGTCCAGTAGTCTGTTTCAAAGAACAAGCTCCCAGTTTCCTTTATGAGCCTTAGCTGAATTCAAATAAAAGAAAAATGCAGCTGAGGCCATCATCCAAGGTTCTCAATGGCAGCACTGCAATCTCTAGTTTACAGACTGATTTAGACTACAAATATGGGACAGAGATAGAAATCTGATTTAAAGTGAAAATAATATGAAAACAGGGGCTACAAGTTATTCCAATTCATCACTGTGGGAAGTGCCCCAGCCAGGATTCTCCTCTCATTCTCACTATCACCCTTTTCTTAACTAACTGAGCTGATTGTGCAGGGGTCCCAACAATCCCTCCAAATGCCCTGGTTCCCACCAGTCCACAGTCAAAGGGAACCAAGACAACACTGGATCCCCATAGGCACTGTTAACAGTACAGCTCCATCCACTGGGGTCCTTGAAAGTGGGAATCTTGGGCCAGGCTCGGTGGCTCATGCCTGTAATCCCAGCACTTTGGGAGGCCAAGTTGGGTGAATCACCTGAGGCGAGGAATTCAAGACCAGCCTGGCCAACATGGTGAAACCCTGTCTCTACTAAAAATATAAAAATTAGCCGGGCATGGTGATGGGCACCTATAGACCCAGCTACTTGAGAGGCTGAGGCAGGAGAATTGCTTGAACCGGGGAGGTGGAGGTTGCAGTAAGCCAAGATCATGCATTCCAGCCTGGGAGACAGAGCGAGACTCTGTCTCATAAAAGCAAAACAAAAAGTGGGAATCTAGTTTGAAGGTTCTCAGTAAAGAGATTCTGAGACAATGCTTGTCCAACTCTAAAAAATCACCTGAAGGGCATAGTAAGCCCCAGAATCCTGTACCCACCCCAAGATCCTGGTTTAGTAAGTCCAGGCTGGGGCCTGAGAATTTGTTTCTAACTAACCCTGGGTGAAGTTGAAGCTGCCTCTCAGTGAATCTCACCTGGAGAAGTATTCTAGGTTGGACACAGAATCAGGGAAGCCTAGAGCTGGAAGAGACTGTAGTGGGTACCTCATTTTGAGTGATCTAGGTGGCTTAGATTACTGCCAAGATTGTAAGATATATTGTAGACAGGAAAAAGAAACATTGATTTTCTACTTACTCTCAGTGAGGTTCTCTTCTAAGTGCTTCACACAAGCAATTCATTTGATTCAGACAATAATCCTTTGTGGTGGGTGCTAGTAGCTATTATTCCTATATCACAGATAATGAAACAGAGGTGCAGAAGGCTAAATCATGCTGTGCCTAGGGCCACACAGACCCTCAGTGGCAGAACCCAGAAGTAAATGCAGGCAGTCTGCCCAGAGACCATGCTCTTGAGCTCAATCTAGGCTGAGTGTTGGCTATGACGTTGACATTTTCAAGATGAGAAACAGAATTGATGTCTGCTTGCAGTCGCAATAGGTCTCTCTTTCTGCAGTCTCATCTTTCGATTCTTCTCGCCTCTTAGAGGACATACTGACTGACATTAATACCTGTCTCCTCGCCTCCCCTCAGGGCTGAAATGGTCTCAGTGGCTCAGGCACAGATGAGGCATGAGTGGGCTGTGCATCTGTCTGTCTTTAGGTGCTGACTGCCACTTTGGCGTTAATTGTTGCCTCTGATCTCTGTGGATTCTCTGGGTAGAGACAGATGACGGTGTGCAGGAATCTGAATCTCTTCACTCCACCGTGTCAGTGTGTATCAGTAAGGAAAGCATCGAGCACCTTTTTATGGCTGTGCAATGACTAATGTCAGCCAATAAAACTGCCTTACTCTGTATATATTCCCACTGTGACTGTGCCATTGATTTTTTATTGGCAAACCTTACCAAAAATGATTCTGTAATAAAACTCATAGTTATTTATTCACAGCTGTTGAGAGCAGTGGACAGGACAATGTCTATCTGATAGGTGGAAGGGCTCAGTTTTGTTTTAAGCTGAAGTTCTTCACTTCTGTAGGTTTCAGGCCTTTGGTGCCTGAAATGCAAACGGTACTGATTCTCAGTTATTAGAACAATTATTTCATAGGAGTGATATGAATTGTGAAGCTGAACACTCATAACCAGATTCACAAGGCAGTGGTGAGGAGGATAAAAATGAGAAGGGAAAGAGCCCTAGACTTGACCATGTGGAAAACATTTGGATTTTGCCGCAGATTAGCTTGAGCAAGTCATTTGTCCTCTTTTGGTTTGCGTTTCTCATCTGTAAGATGGAGCTTCTAATAGCACTCCCCACTCCGACTAGTTTACAAGGTTGTTGCTGAGCAAGCGGCACGATGCCATCAAAGCACTTCCTGCAAGGAGTGTGCCGACGTGGCTGTGGTTGCCCTATGTGCTCACCCCAACCCCATCACATTAAATTTTCTCCTGCCTCTTCCATCTTCTTTTCTGTAATCTACATCTGACGTCCAAAAGCTGGAGGACAGAACAGAAGTCAACTACCTTTTCTATGCTGTAAGACCTAAAATGTTGATACTGCTTTTCAAATACAAATATCAATTCTTCCCCTTTATACACACACTGACTCCTCATCCCAAGCAAAAAGCCCAACTTCATTGTTATTTTAAGTTGTCCCGTGAGGTGGGAGCCAGACGCACACGCTCTGAAGCAGC